TATGGGGTGGGGGGGGGGGGGGAGGATTTCCTGTTTTCAGTAGAGGCTTAAGCTAAAACACTTAGATTCAGTTCCCACTCAGTCCTCTCGCAGTTCTTAATGCTGTCTGAAATATTCATGTACCAGCCTCACAAAGCTAGGACAACAAGGGTGAACTTTCCCATTAATGGCTGCTCTAGGGCTCAGGATGGGAAATAACGCATGGGAGCTTATCTCTTCTGTGCTAACAGTGACCTCCCTGCAGGCACCAAAGCAGCATAGAGGAAGCTATGTGATGCACATGCAGAGGGGACCCAAGTCTAGAAAATTGTGGAATTAGAGTGGTGAAAATCAACCTGTTTAGCTAAGGAGGCTAGGTCTGTAACTTAGCAGGGAACTGGGGGAAGGAGAGACAAACTAGGAGTTAGGAGTGATGAGGATGCTGAAATTATATGACACCTAGGGAGATAGATTAACCAGGGAACCAGTGGGGATGTGGAATGCTAGTGTATGGGTTTAGGGAGTATGTGGCTGACAACCGAGTGGGAAGAAAAACAGGGAATGGGAGAGAACTGGGAATGTGCAAGGAAATGGAGAAAAACCCTGAAGAGTGAAGAATAAAACTGAGGAAACAGAGACAAAAGGCCAGTGGTGTGGTAGATACCTGATCAGTTAGGGGAGACAGGTAAAAGAAATCAAGCTGCTCATTGCCTGGAATGGAACCCAAGATCCAAATTTCTCACCATTATTTGTCAGCAAATGTTTGAGATAACTACTGGTATAATGTCATCCTCTGAGAGGTGATCCACCAAGGGTTTGTCTACACTGCAGGGTTTTTGCACAAGAAACCTTTTGCGGAAGAGTTCTTATGCAAAAACTTCTTGCGCAAAAACACGTCCAGACCTCAAAGCGCATCGCAAAAGCGATGTGCTTTTGCGCAAGAGAGTGTCCACACTGCATGGACACTCAACACAAGAAAGCTCTGAAGGCCATTCTACACATAGCCTGGACCTAGAAAATAAGAACTTCTTACTGCTATCTGTTACTTTCTCTAGTGGCAGAGGTTTGTATGGTGGACATAAAGATCTCTGTCCCGGATGCTGAGCCATGTAGTTTTTAGTAGTATGCCTCATGATGGGATTTGTTTTTTTCAGTTTGTTTACTTAGAAAATTAAATACAAAATACACTAAAAACATAGAAAGGTACAAAGTCAAGCACTCAAAAATTAGGAAGGGCTGCAATTAAGATTTCCATAAAATCTTATTTCAGCCCCTTTTTGCATGTGTCACAGATCATAGGCAGCTGGCTTTTAGTTCATGCCATAGAGGCTCAGACACTAAGCTCCAGAGCTCTTACGTTCCGCCTGCAGGTGTTAGAAGTGGGTACTTGTCTGGGATTTCAGCTGGAAAGTCTCTGAAGCTTGGGACATGCTTCCTCAGTTTGAGGAAGTATGTAATCCATGTACCTTCTATGTGTGATGTACTCTCCTATCTAGTGCCACCAAGCCCACTCACAGAATAACAAGTCTGCTCTATGGCCTTAGCTAATAGTTCATACACTAAGTTGCAGTGGTCCCAGGTTCAATTTAGGCTGAGAGCATCACACTAAGGCACCAAATTCCCCTTGCCAGAACTCTACCTGATGTGAGTTCTCTCCTTTACCTCTTCAACGTGCGGATTAGAAATAGCCTTATATGCCACAACTATATGCTACAAACTTTGGTTAAGTCAGGTTATAGTGGCATATAGCCATTGACGTTTATATAGCATTAGGCTGTGTCTACACTGGCGCGATCTTGCGCCAAAGCGGCTGCTCTTGCGCAAAAACTTGCTGCCTGTCTACACTGGCCAAGTGTTCTTGCACAAATAAACTGACGTTCTACTGTATAAAATCAGTGCTTCTTGCACAAGAACTATGATGCTCTTGCTCAGGAATAAGCCCTCGTGCGCAACTGTTCTTGCGCAAGAGGTCAGTGTAGACAGCCAACGTGAATTTCTTGCGCAAGAAAGCTCTATGATTAAAATGGCCATCAGAGCTTTCTTGTGCAAGAGAGCGTCTACACTGGCATGGATGCTCTTGTGCGAAAGCACATGCCAGTATAGACGCTCTCTTCTGGAAGAGTTTTTGCAAAGAACTCTTCCGCAAAAGAGTTCTTGCGCAAGAAGCTGCCAGTGTAGACGCAGCCTTAGGGTATACCTGGCTGCTTATATCAGCACTGTGCATACCAGGAGCATTTGTGCTGATGTAAAGGATGGTTCACCTTGGGTAGGTATCCCAGTGTGCCATGCACTACTGTCCAGCGAAATGCATTTTGGAATATTTCTACAACGTTTTGTGAGACAGTAATGACTTGCCCAGGTATCTCTGAGCAAGGGTTCTGGTTTCCAGCATGCAACTGTCTCCATCCCATAATGACATTCATATTCCATAATTTTTGCAACTTGTTTTTAAAAAATTACACAAGCCCATGCAGAACTTTTCAGTTTCATCCAGTCCCTGAGCGTTGCACCATTCTCATGAATGTTGCAAATACATGCCATGATTCTCCTGTATTTGCAGATTCTAGGACGTACCACAACAATAAAGGACATGACAGTTTCATTGAGGACAGTTTGCATGCTGTGTAGCAGCCATCATGGAGCATCTGTAGATAGTGGAATGCTCCTTCTGGGCCCAAAAATGAGCTCTGATTGGTAGGATCATACTGTAGGTTTAGGATGATGAACAGTGGCTTCAGAATTTTTTAATGCAAAAAGCCACATTCCTAGAGCTGTGTGCCAAGCTCACCGCAGCTCTCCAACACAGTGATATCAGAATGACAGCTGTATAGACAGTGGAGAAATGAGTACCGAATGAACTCAAAACCTGCACTGCTGGATTGCTATCGGCCTGTGGGAAATAATTTTGGAGTTGGAAAATGCACATGTGTTAATTTTTATTATCAAATGCAGTTACACTTCAAAGAGTAGCAGGAGCAGCTCCCTTTATCAGATCCAAGATTAAAGAGATACTGGTTAGTTCCACTGCCTGGGCATGTTCTGAATATGTATCTCTATGGAATCTATGGAAAACTTTACAAAAGTTTTGAAACTGTTAGTATTCTCTTCTGTGGAGATGTCTGAACAGAGTGCAGATCCAATAGGGAAGCATTTCCACAATTAGCTGATTCCATCTTCAGATCAGTAGAATCCACAAATGCTGCTAATTTCAAACTTTGTGCCAAGATATTCTCAGAATTGGGAAAAGTAGATCTCCTGCCATTCTGTTGCAATCTCGCCTTTAAAAAGACTCTAGTTCAGGCACAAGAACACTTTTTAAATCTCAGATATCTTCTTTGGCAGTTCCAGAAGTTAAATCTTCCCAAGATTTTCCTCTGTATGCATACTTTATAATTTATAACCTATAGATGATAGGGTCTTTGGCTTCAACTTTGTCTCTTAATAGAGGCACCTAGTTCCAGAATTCAGGTCTTTCTACAAAATATCAAGTCAATCACCTTACAAAGATAGGTGATCTTTAATTTTAAAACAAGGTCTTAGAGAAACTAAAGGCAACTAGATCTAGGGCTGAGTCCCCTCCCTTTGCCCCTTCCCTTTCTCAATAAAAACACCTGTTTAGTTTTCAACAAAATGAACTCTGTATTTATCTTTCATTACAAAGAGATGGGCAGGGGGAGGTGGGTTCATAACCTGGAGAGGAGGGGGGCTCAGAGTGGCGTCAGGACCAGCTAGATGTGCCACCTTGGGGGCGGGGACCTCGTTGGGGTTGTGTGGGTCCAGGGACCACAGGGGGGCTGGAGAGGGGTCAGGGATGGCAGGGGGGTAAGGGGATGAGCCCATAGGCATGGTAGGGGGAGCTGGAGTGGGGAGAACTGGAGTGGGGACAGGAGCCTGGTATGCCATCACTTCCTGGATGGTGGCACATTCTAT